TGTGTATATCTGTGGATATCCAAGCAAGGAAGAGTAAAGGAACCTTAATGTGAACCGACTTAAAGGGTTTTAACAACGGCTCATTTCTCTTTGTGTCTCCCTCACCAGCTTTATTCTAGTCTAGAAAACTACTCATGGTGCCGGTAAGATGCAATCCCGTTACAAGAATCTCCCTGATAGATCAGTGCTTCCTAGATCATCCTAACTGCAAACTGCTAAAATAAACCAAAGTAGTCAAAGTCTTAAAAGGCAAGGGGAAGTAGGAGTGAGCAGTGGGGTGTGGGTGTGGTCAGAACAGTGACCAGAGTGGTTGGTACGATGGATCTTATATCACGATTTAGAAAAATTTCTGTTATTTTTCTCAAAAATAGCTAAAAATACAAAAAGAATAAATCTCAACCCTAACGTTTTTCCTTTAATTTGCCTCAGTCCATTTCTCTCAGAACACCACGGTGTGATGAAACTAAAGTAACTTCCTCTAAATACGATCTGTGTATATCTGTAGATATCCAAGCAAGGAAGAGTAAAGGATCCTTAATGTGAACCGACTTAAAGGGTTTTAACAACGGCTCATTTCTCTTTGTGTCTCCCTCACCAGCTTTATTCTAGTCTAGAAAACTACTCATGGTGCCGGTAAGATGCAATCCCGTTAGAAGAATCTCCCTGATAGATCAGTGCTTCCTAGATCATCCTAACTGCAAACTGCTAAAATAAACCAAAGTAGTCAAAGTCTTAAAAGGCAAGGGAAAGTGGGAGTGAGCAGTGGGGAGTGGGTGTGGTCAGAACAGTGACCAGAGTGGTTGGTACGATGGATCTTATATAGGTGGAGGATTGTTTTTGTCACCAGACATTGAGAGAGGCATTCAGGACCCCAGTCAGCCAGATCCTTATCAACTCAGGTTGTTGGTTTACGGCGTTGACTCAGCGGATGATGGGAAGACTCACTGTACGGATGTATGTGTGAGTAAGAAGCTTTTACGCCCACACGTAGGGCCTCGGTAACATAGGGATGAACAATCATGCAGAGTCTGAATCAACGGGGAAATTCAACTGCAGCAGCCACTGTTCAACCCTTAGAGAGCAGAAAGACGACTATTTCAAGACAAATGTTGCAAATGAAAAAACTTGACATGACAATGTCAAGAGTTGCAGAGCAACAGTTAATTAGCTTAGTAAATATTTTTTATATCCAAAATAAGTTGGTTTTGGGCTGTGTTACACTTTAAATGGACTTTTGTGCTCAAGGAGAAGTGGGCTCATCCATGCTCTCGCACACGTATTTTTGTTTTTTAAAGTGGAGAGGGCGGGTCCATGAAAATCCTCCACAATACCTTTAACAAGTGTGAAATCTGAGGGCGTAGTGGTTAGAGCGCACGACCCATGTACGGAGGTCTTAGTCCTGGACGCGGCTGACCCGGGTTCGAATCCGACCTGTGGTCCTTTGCCACATGTCTCTCCCCTTCTCTCATACCCCCTTTCCTGTCAGCCTACTGTCAGAAAAACAGGCCACTAGTGCCGTAAAAACTATAAAAAAAAAAAAAAGGGGTTAGGGTTAGCGGGCACACAGCTCCATGCATTAGAGTAGTAATACACAACAGTTACAGTGAAGTCCTGCGATAATAGACTCCGGACAAGCAAGCCTACAAAGTCATGAAAATGAACCCTAGTAGGGAAACATCTACATGCTTGTGGTTAGTGCAGAGGAAAAATCAGAATAAAATCACAACTGTGGTTATAAAAAAAAAAAAAGGTTTCAACTAAATTGAAAAAAATTAGATAGTTTAAGTTATTAGCTTTCCATACAGGAAATGAAAAGATAAAGGGAAGCAACAGCTTTAAACTATATATTTAACAATTTATTTTTGCCCTGGTTAAATCATGTAAAATACCATCAAACTATAATTATATAGACCGGGCTCTGCAACCTTCTCCAGAACCACATGTGGCTCTTTGGACTTCTACAATGGCTACTATCTTTTGCATAAGAATTTATCATCTTTACACTTTTTCCATTCTTCATGGAATAATTGGATTGATTTTCCACAAGAGAATCACTTTAAAACATCATACTTTTGATACATTTCTCTTCATTTGATTGCAAACTTTATTATTTTCCACAAATATAAACATCCTACAGCAACAAATTTATCCGTTCAATTTTTGCAGGTTTTAATTTTTTTTTAAACCTAAACCAATAAAAATTATTTTGTTCATCAAGAAATAAAAACATATTAGATATTTAAAAATATATTTATTAGTTAAGCTTTTTCCTAAGGGTCAGTTGCTCTAGACTAATACTATTCAGCTGAAATGGCTGTAAGGAAAAATAAGGCTGCAGACCACGGGGTTAGAGCTTTGGGGTGTTATTTTTAAAAACAGGATTAATATTCTTTTCGGAATCAAATTAGGAGATGTTAGTGACAGCCCTGGACTAAATCAACTTTATACTAACACTAAAGAGAGAAAAAACACACGACGGCAGGTCATACAAGAGAAACAGTACAGGATCTTAAAACAAAAAAGACAAAAAAAACCTTGAAAGTTCTCGCTGAGCCTGATGATTCACTGTTAAACATGGAAAGCCTTTTCATCGCCGTCACGCCTCATAGAGTAAAAAAAACAGTGAAATTGAACAACTTGCAAGTATTTCCCCACTTGGATTTAAACTCTGACAGCAGCCAAAGAAACAACTGGTTTAAGTGTTGAATTTAATCAGTACATAATTTCAAAATTTTATTTTTCTCTGTATTAAAAAAAAAAGCAATTAACCAGTGAAAACAGTTGCTGGCACATTTAGAAAAAAATACTTAATGAGCTCCAAATATTATAATTCTTTTCTGTTTTTCTCTCATGTTGCATAGAATAAACAGAGAAGGCTGTTGAGAAAAAAAATGAATCGAGAAAGAAATAATTTTGACATTTAATTTCAGCTTTAACCAACCTGAGTTATTGATGCATGATAATATTAGACGTTCTTTCTTGGAAATGCTGACAATCTTGCATCATTAGCAAAGGTGTAAATGTTTGACAGACGGCATCAGCTGATAAATGTATAAAGATTAAGTGCAAAAGCTTTTAAATTAGCAGTCTTACTGCAAAACTTATCAGGATTCTGTTTCATTAAAACTACAAAGTTCAAAGTAAAGTTAAAACTAGTGCTGAAATTAACACCTATTGTCCATGAATGTGCAGGTAAGCTTCTAGAGCAGAGGAATATAGCCGTGTGTTAGGTCATTACTCAGTGAGTGTGCTGTTAATGCTGGGAGCCACCATGTGTATTTGGTTGAAAGGTGCATATTATGTCCATAAACCTTATCTCTCACCTATTATCTTACGTCTCTGCAGCTGAATAAACAATTTCAATAAAAAGATTTTACAGCCTATTTTTCTAGATCATTTTCTTGACTCAAAAGGGTGAAGCAAGATCCTTGCTTCAATGTGACCTTTTTCCCATCACAAAAATAATGCAGCAAAAAAACATGATGAGCGCAGAGGCAGGATTATGAGAGGGAATGCGTCCCGTGGCCCCTGGCTCCTCAGCGGAGGCCTGGGTCAGAGCAGAAAGCTGCAGTGGTAATTACTGAGGGACTGATTGCTGACAGGACCTTCCAACAGCCTGTGGTTAACTGGATGGAAGCGAATGGGGGGGGAGGATGTACGAGCCTAACAGATGCTCCACTCAGGACAGTTTAAGGGCAGTTTTTTTTTTTTTTCCTCAAAGTTGCAAAGACAATAAAAAAAACAGCTTACTTCCCTTAGGTTTTTGACACTCTGGAGGCAGGATGGAGAGACGTTCAAGATGAACTGCAAATTAGTACTCATTCTTTTTATGAAGACCTTTTTTTATTTCCAAATGGGTAAAAAACTTAAACTAACATATGTTACAGCGCAGAGAGAAAGAAAGTCATTCTTGAAGGTGAAGCTGAAAGATAAACAACATAAACTGACTTGAACTCGTTTCTCTGACTGAGTGGGAGGAATGTGTGATTGTGGCAAGCACTGCTTGGCCACAACTGGTACTGTACACCGGTTCCCAACTGGATTATGCCAGTTTCGTGCTCAGGGTGGTCATTTAGGAGCACTTGGGATCGTTCATCATGACCATATGGATGCTCCAACCCTGTGTTTAAGCCATCTCATTCTTACCATCCACGAGTGGGGTTGATTTAGCAAAGGCTGTATTTACTCTTGACAGAATGGTCTGTGCCATGGATATATAGCAACATTAGCTGCTGTTGTTGCAACCTCCAACTTGGATGTAGTTAGAAGAAAATTATTTTATTTTAAAAAGGTGCAATCAGCTTATGACAACATTTCTTAATGAGATTTGAACAATGGAGGAACATGTTTTGTTCTGTGTCATCATTGTATACCAAAACAGCAGCAACAGCAACTGAGAATCAAGCTGTGCACTGGCATAGAGATCAGTAGAATCTGCACTTTGGCAGATTTTACAAAAGAAAACTATCAACATTGAGGTTCTAAAAGGTACTTTGTTCAAAGTAAAATTACATTTACCATATTCAGGTACTTAGCTAAATCACAAAGGCTTTATCGTCTGTTCTTGTAAAGAGGGATTGTCTTCGAGTCAATGAGTCGATGCAATCGGCTGGTTTTCCTTAGAAAACTTTCTGTTCACTGTATGATCTAATTGAAATGTCTCTATAAAGTGCCTTGAGATTATATGTGTTGTGAATTGATGCAATATAAATAAACTGAATTGAACTGAAGAGAAATTTGCAGGGCACTTTTTTCAGCCTGCTGACCAGCAGTGCATAGCAACTGGCAAGGGAACGGCCCTTAAATTGGATTTAGCTTTGGTCCCTCTGCATTCTCTGGTATCTCATTAAATAGATTTTTATCCAGAGGAAGCATACGATGAAGGTTCTACGAAATGTGACCTTTTCACATTACTACTCCAACTCATAAATTAGCACAAAACATTCAAGCTAGAGCCCCGGTAATTGTATAACAAAACGTGAACCAAGAGCGTCACTGACCTCTGACGGTTTCTTGTGCTGAAGACGGACCCATGTGCTGCTGGTGCCGGTATTCTTGGAGGACCTTGACCATGACGTCACTTGACCTGGAAGAGAAAACACTATGGACTTACAGATGCTCTTAAAAAAGCCTCTTTTATTCTTTTATTCTCAGCATTTTTTGTTTTATTTTAAACATTTTGGGTTTTTTTGCAGTCAAGTCCTTGCCTGAAGGGCCTTTACTTGCATAAATAGTCTGGCATCTGATGGGCATCTCTCAAACAATAATAGTTTAATAAGTTCAGGAGCAGCGATCATTTAAGCAGCAGAGAATCTGAACAACAATCGTTATCAAATTACCTTGAAAGAAATGTTCAGGAGGGTCTCTTTTTTTTCTTAATAAATTTAATTAAAAAAATAAACATGACAGCTGCCATCCAACAACCTCAGTTTGTGTCCACTGCCTGCACTAAGAATCAAGCTTAAGTGAGGCAAACTAATGACTATCCTCTAGGAGGTTAATTAGGTGGCGACACTATAAATAACATCTGGTTAAAGTGTTCAGTCTGCTATGGTCCATTACAAGCTTAATAAACATCTTAATTGTAATTAAGCAAACACTGGAACCAATAGGCTCCTCATCTACATCCAACAGCCCCATAAAGGCATTTCTATGCATTACTTGTTTCAGGAAAAAAAACTAAAGCTTAGTTTTGATATTTTCTCTAAGTGTACCTAATGAAAAGAAACCTTATTTCAATTTAAAAGAGGAGTTAAGATCCATGAGAATAAATTTAGTTTAATGTTTCACATCCACTTCTGAGTGTGCATGCCTCCCACTCAACATATTTCCCGCCATCACCACAGCAGTGTCGCCACCATGCTGACTTCACTCCTCAGCATCTAGCAGAGCTCAGGGAAAAGCTGCTGGCATATTTGACTTCAGAATTGACTAATTTCTTCTTCTACACAGAGACAACACAGATACAGCATAATCAGGGAAGAACTTTTCACGTATTTAACATGTTTCCTAAAGTGGATGCAGATTCAACCACAAATTCATCACCGCCACACAGTAACATCTCTGGGAACTTTTAGTTTGAATGTAGATTACTACAAACTCTTAAATGTGTTATTCTGCAATTGTCATAAAGGAAAGTTGATATGAACATTTGAGCAAACATCCGATATTAATATTCGGGTTATGGTCACAATCCATGATTGACTCATTTAATACCTCTTCCTTCCCACTCAACTGTGTGGGATAAAACAAAGGGGGGAAAAAACACACATAGGTGACACTGCATCCCTAATAAGATAAACACCCTACAATCATTCTGCGCATTAGCATGACAGCCACATGTCCCCTGAAAACACATCAACAAATAGCAAAAATACTTCAAATAAGCATTGGTTGATCTGGTCTAAGTATATCTTAATCTCTTACTGGCAGTTTTACTTTATTCAGATAAATAGGATTCACTATGATTAAAGGTAGGGATGTTACCAAGAAGGCAGAATGCTGCAACTGAGTCAAAATGTTTAAAAAACATTATTTTGAGGCTGTGCAACCAAAAGAAAAGCCTGTTTTGTTTTTATTTTTTTTATATATATATTTTTTTTTTGTATCATTATATTTCTTTCCCTAAAAGATGTTTGGATTTCAGCCATGTGAAAAAGTCCAATCAGCGCACCCTAGAGCTGGTCCATTAATTGATTAAATAGCTCCAGGTGTTACTCAATAAGAGTTTGTTTTTAAAAGAAATGTGTGTCGTCATTTTTAATTATAAAACTTAAGGGGAAAGAAATTAATAAAAAATAATACACAAGAAGAAGAAAAGGAAGGAAGGAAGGAAGGAAGGAAGGAAGGAAGGAAGGAAGGAAGGAAGGAAGGAAGGAAGGAAGGAAGGAAGGAAGGAAGGAAGGAAGGAAGGAAGGAAGGAAGGAAGGAAGGAAGGAAGGAAAATCAATTCTTATCAATTCTTTCATAGCTGTCAGACACAATACTTATTGTTTGCCCTTGCAAGTAAAAAAAGCTGCCTAAAAGGTCCATTTATTAGTCTCCTGGACATTAGGATCACACTCACACAACAGCCTTTTACAGGTCTGGTGCAGGATACATCTACAGGGCTAACATATGGCAGCTGCATGTCTATGTCATCGTGACCAGATAGCCAAACATGCAGACGAAGTCGACCATCGCGGCTGTGTGTTAATTAAAAGCCACATTTAGAGGCCCAGCAGCCAAAATTATCATGGGTATCCTTCAATTATAAACCTGATAACCTCTGCTGAACAGTCACAGCTGCAATCCGGGCTGCAGAGGTCAGGAGACGCTGAGAGTTAAAAAGCAAGAAGAAATAGTTTTACACACAGGCTGAGGTAGCTAGGCCTGCAAACACAGCCTATTAAACTTGCTGTAAAATAGGCTACACACAGATGTGAGGTCAGGTCAGTCTAAGGTGTAAACAGCTCCAGTAACTCCATTACCATAATTAGTTTGATTATACATTCTAACCCAACATTTTACTCGTCAAAATACAGAATTCTTAGTCTTAACTACTGCAAAGTAAACCTATAATCTTATTTTGTAAATTTCACCATTTCTCCAAATGCTTATTTGACTTTGGGTTGAAAACCAGAATTCAACCAACAAACACTGATGATAAAGCATAATTCCCACATTAGAAAGAGTAAGGTTATCATATACTACAGAAAACTGCCATAAGGCCACAGAGTTAACTTGTGTATTTCTACATGAGGCTGCAAAACATTTTGGGTTGAGCTTTAAAAAGAAAAAGCATAGTGCAAAACGTGCTTAAACTGTCTAAATTTAATTGATTTCTTTGCTTATTAATGACATGTTGAAAGAGCTTCAGACCCAATTTAGAGAACAACTTTAAACAACACCTGGATATAGATGTTGCTTGAATAATCACTGTATTTTAAGAACATGATCAATTAAAAGAACAGCTTAGACAGCCTATGATCCTTCCTTCAGCCAGACGTTGCAAACAAAGACATACTTTTTCCTTTGACCCCAAAGTAAAAAATCTCTGTAAAGTAAAATAAGAATCAAAAACATAATAAGTCATTGTTTAGAATGATGGTTTGATAAATAAAGGAATATTTTTTTTTTATTGTAAGTACCATTTTAACTTGCATCAGTATATTGTAAACATAAATATGATGACTAAAATATTCTTCAGATTTTCATTTAAAGAGCAGAAACAATGTATATGCACGAAAAGGGCTTAGCTCATATTGGCAAATAGAAGTAACAATATTCCTTTTTTAAATGCTGTATATCTTTCTTTGTGAACACCTAATGGACATAAATTTAGATGATTTTTAACCTTTCATCCTGACGCTACTATTGGTTGGACCATTTTGTAATTTGCTCATATCTGCCCCTGTTCTTTAAGTCACAAAATCAAAGAGCAACAATTTACTAAAATCTTTTCTACCTCGTTTATATATGGATGCAGTGTTGGAAAATATATCACACCGGGCAGTGGTTCCCAAACCTTTCAAGAAAGTGTTTAGCTCATATTTGGCAGCTTGGTTGGAGTTTCTTAAAATGACAGGATCTTCACTAATACTATGCCACCATACACCCACCTTTAACAACAAATCTATTATAAGCCTATCCGAATGAAACAGGAAAGGAATAAAATTAAAAAATAAATCTTGGGAGATTTATTCGAATGAAATAATTTTATCCAATTTTGGAGCTTAATTTTAACAATATGGGATTTCAGAATAAAATTTTCTAGAATATCAAAAGATTAGGCCTATATTAAAGATTTCAGAATAATGAAGCAGGTCTACAAATGCAACAAAATGAATGAGGATTTATTAAGCCATATTCCTCCAAAATGACTGTCTAAAATATATAGGAGTTTATCCAAAATAGATTACTCTAAATCACTTCTCACTGAAAAATGGGAAACTTGATTTATCAGTTAGGCTTGATCAAATAGTTTAGTCTAAAATATGTATGAGAACATTTAACATGACTAGAAATCCTAATTTGCAACCAATTCATTGCAAAATCCTTCAATGAGTGTTTAAGATGGGTTCTGCACAGTTTGATCTCTGCTTGCAATTTGCAAGTAATGCACCAGATCACTATGTATACCCACTAATGGTCATGGACGTGGTAGTGGGTTGAAAAATAGACCTGACTACCCAGGGCACACGTAGGAAGGGGGCCCATGAAATCCCTGTTATTTTTTTATGTTTTCATTTAGAATTATTTGTGCCCTCCAATTAATTGCCTTCATAATTAATTTAAAATATATTTTGACAAAATCAACAGAGAGCGAACTTTATGTCCACTGAACCCATTCTCTAGGCCCCATCTTGGGAGCGTAAGTGGTTGAGTCCATCTGACAATCGTTGACAAGTGCAATGTCAGTGAGCCCAGTTTTAATGACCTGGGGTTTTAGACATCATGCTCCCCAAAAAGCATAAATCAGGGCTTTAAAAGAAGAAGAAGAGAGAAAATGGAAGAAAGCAGAAAGAGGGAGGCAGCTGTTGACTGCTTCCTTTTCCAAAGGTGAACAGAGTTAGCTTTTCAAATGCAAAGTCCAAATAAAGCTCTCTCCAGATCTTTGTTTTCCATCTCTGATGAGTCCCCTCACCTGCTCTATCACAATACCACACACATAGGATATTGCGGAAGAGATCCCCACCAGGGTGGCATCTCCCATGCTGGTGGTCTAGCCTATGCCCCAAAACACTTGAGTCAACCTAGGCCTCCTGGCCCCTCAGGGGTCCCCCACTAGGGTGTGGTGGTGTGCTCCCCAGGCCTCAGATCCCCGGCTTTCATCTGGGTCCACCTTAGTCGAGCCCCTAAGAATCTGGGTTCCTTTGGGTTTTGGCCCCTCAGGGGTCGGGTACACTTGTCTACTGTTCTGTGATGGGTACTGCCATCCCTATGTATGCCCTCCTTGTGTCCCAGTGATCTGGGGAGCCTTTGGACATCTGGGATTGCTGTTGCCTCTTTAGCGGTCCTGTGGCCTGTAGGGCGAGTCTAGGGCCACCCACACCTGCTATTAAGCGTATTTTCCTTCTGATGAGGCTTTTGCCCATATATATAAACCACGAGAGTTTGGTTCCAGGTGTTTGAGGACACACCAATACCAAATACTAGGCTACAGATATATATACCAGCCTGAATAATATTGTGTAATCACCACACACATAGATATCTAAGGGATACCCGCTGCTCTTGAAGCTTTTTGATGTCTACGTTGGTTGTCTGTTGTCTTCTTTTTGCGGTTATGTTCTCCGTTTTCTGTCCCTCTTGTCTCATACAAGTGTGAAGCAGACATCTAGGTGCTACCCTATTATCTTCTGTGTTATTTTTGCTGTTTTGTTTCTCTTCTTTCATGGGCTCTCATTATCTCTTCCAATAGTTCTTATCCGCTCTTTCTTTCTTTTGTTTTTGTTGGTATATAGATATTAAATGCCAGCTGAATACAGTCATATGTGCTATTGCTGCTAACAAAACTAAATAAATGCCAGGGGTTCATATAATTGTGCAATGGAGGAATAAACCCTGAAGCATTTCACTGAAATCATGTTTCTAATAACTCTACCCCGTCAGCACAGGAGCTCACTTTTCTTCACACTTCTAGGTTTCCCCAGATAGCAACATCTCCACATTTCAATTTGCCCCAGCTCTTTCTTCAACTTACTGTCAGTGGTGTCAGAGTCATTGCTGCTTGTGGAGTATTTCCTCCTCTTCTTTTCACTCTCCATCTGTCATGGGTGAGGGAGGCAGGGGGTGGGAGGGCACAGGCGAGAGAGTGAGAGAGAGAGAGAAGTTAGATGATGTTCACTATGAAAAAACAAAGTGTGAATGATTAGGCACCAATCTGTCAAAGTGAGCTGATCACCTTTAGATATTAATTCTCCAGGCTTTCAGGGAAGTTCATATGGATAGATATTCAGGTCCTAACAGACATTCGGTGTAAATTCATCTAGCCAAAATTTATGCTCGGAGCATTTTATTTAAAATACTTCCTTATTTGCTTTTAATAACGTAAAACAACCTAAGGATCCTAGCATAAAACAGCTGTTTTTCTGCCAACAGAACCATTTTTAAAAGCAGTTATGGGTTGAAGGTAACAGACACTCAAGAACACTTTAAAATATACATGATTTCACGTCCTTCGTAAAAGATGCGGGTGTAACTCCTCATCCTGCATGCCACCAAATGAAAGGAACTATTCTAAACTACGTCAAAGATACAACTCTGTTATATTGTCAGTCTGGTATATGCAGTCAGAATTTCAATATTATGTTTCGGACAGAAAATAAGAGACAAAATGGAGAGCCTGAAAATTTACTACAAAAACAGACAGATTTAATAACAATATCTGTAATGGCTTCAAGAAAAGCTTCATATCGTTCGGTTCTTGTAGTTCTAGTGTCAATTTTTTTCAGCAGTTTTACCGTTTACATTTTTCTTGTGCAGTTTTCTCAAAATATTTTTTAAGTGGTCAGAAATTTATGCTGGGAGTAGTTACTGCACTGAGTGATGCTACAAGGCTTTGGGACCGATGAGAACAATCTGGGTTTTTCTGAAACATGAAATGCATCCACCTTCCTCTAGTAATTTACTCCTCAGTTATGGGGTCAACATCTGAAGTAAATCACCCGTATATTTCCATACCAGTGCTACACGATTTGAAAACACATCATATTTAAGAGACCATTTTTTTAAGCTTTAATCATTAATAATAATTCTCAAACTCAAAAAACATTACATATGTTGGTTAAAACAAAACTGAAAGCCAAGAATTCAAAGAGGATGATAAAGATGATTTATTGCAAGAATCCATTTAGTATTATCAACTCAGTCAAATTAACAAAATCTCCCTTTTCCTTTCAACCAATTGGAGGTTCAGCAATTCATGCATCGCTGTACGGAATGCAGTTTGACTTCAGTTTGCACAAATAAGGGTATATATATATATATATTTTTTTTTTTTTTGCCATTTACCGTGATTCAGGAGTTAAATTTTTAGGGTGTAGAGGAGGTGAAAAGGCAATGACTGGAGGGAGCAATTAAGTCTAAAAGGTGTTTAGGTGCAACAAATACATATTAAAGTCACAATGTCAGGAAAGAAGGAAAACAAAAGAAGTCATAAAAATGATCAGCAATACATGGTGGAAAGTGTTGAACATTGCAATAAAATTTGCCAAACTTTGGCCGGTTTTGACTTTGAATAAGTAAGAGAGGATCTACAGATAAAATATTTTCTAAACAATTGTACTATTCTCTTTTATTAAACAAAATTATTGTCTAATAGGTAATCAATATTTTGGATATGCATACACTCCGACTCAGATATTATGGAGGTCCATATTTGGATTTACTACATGTTTGGTCTCTTAAAACTCCTTGCATAAGTTGAACCAAAATTCATTTCTGAATAGCTGAACAATACGCTGTTCCTCTTTATAAACTCATTCTACTTGGAATCTGAGATGAGTGAAAAAATGTGATAGAATCTAAAGCCTAAAAAAATTTTAATCTATGAAAAACATGGGAATCGACCAAACCACAATCAGCCTTTGCAGCCTATGGTTGTATTAAGCATTTGTTTGTACCACATTCTGCATAGTATAGCTGATACTCTATATTGTGTAATTTTGAGGAAAGCTCTGCAGGGCTCTGTTTTAGCTCTTCATGCCTCGCAGACTTTTTAAAGTATTTAGCCTATCTCTAACATCTAATTAAAATAATCTTAATGCAAAACATCTGAGTCAACCTGATATATTTTTAGTCTGATCAATTATTCAATTCTGTTATTGCAAATTAGATGTTTTACAACTTGGTTATCAGCGTCTAGCTGAGAATTTTAATAATTAACCATTATTTTCTTATTGGGCCAAAGAAACCATCTTGTTTCAATTCCCCCTTCTTATGCACTGGAGAAGTTTTTAAAAGCATGACTTTCATCCAGAGGAGTGGGGGTGACCAGACCTCAAACTTTAACTTTATGTCCTGATCTACAGACAGGCAGCCAAAATCGCACCAAACCTGCCATGATCAGCACCGACGTGGTCCTAACAAAAGAACACGGTCAAATTCAGCATCAATAAAGGCTCTCGGCCACATGTTTTACTTGCTGACCACTCTGACAATATTTAACATAACAAACTGTAAGAAAAGATAAGCTGGTGGTTATTGGTATCAAAAAGCTGGCTTTCCATCCATTTAAAACTAATGTGGAGAGGGGAGTTACTCGCCACAATCAGGAAGAAAATAGCACTGTCTAAAGAGATGGGATTTCCTGAAAAGTAACCAGTCAGAGGCTTTACTTTCTCAGGTTGGTTCAACCCTCAAAGCGACCAGAGTTGACATGAGAAACAGATCCACAACTGACAAGGAGAGGATCTACAGCCGCATAGAAAACAAGCAACGGGCGCAGAGATGGGGCATAGACTCATGGTTGTGATATGTTGCACGTGGAGAGTAGTTTAGGTGCAGGAGTTTTAAATAAAATTGGTCAGTATTTATTAGGTATGGGCAATTTTTGCAGAATTTTGACTTCATAGAATGTACTCCTTAAAATGTTAACTGTGCAGCAGGACAACAAATGGTTTACAATTAAAGCAATGTTGATAAAATGTTTTTCAAATTGTGATACTTGAAGCTTTTATGCAGAGCTAAACCTCAATCTCATATGACTTGATGGATCATTTAAGAGATTTATTAACTGCCCTCTGCCACCTATCATCAGAAAGACCAGCGTTTCTCCTCCCTGTCAGGGTCCGATCCATCAGCGATCTGTCAAAAATTACTTTAGGAGTTCCAGCTCACAGCGGACCAATACCTTACTGCCAAATCTTTCAACTTAAGTTGCCTGCAGCTCCAAATTAATATGCAAATCAGGAGGGGAAAAAAAATTGTTGCCAAGGGAAGTAAAGGGGGGGGAGTAAAGCAAGACTGCAAATAAATGGACAAAAAGGACTTAAATATTCCCACGGGATTGTACATTTTAAGAAATTTTGGGGCTGCATCATCAAGAAAGAAATCATTAAATGACATGGCAAGAAATACAGGTTCTGAAATTCCCAAATCAATATACCTCCAGACGTGCAGAAAACTCCAAAAAGAGTAGGTCAGAAATGAAGTTTAGTGTGCAGAGAGCAGATTTATGTGGCAGTAAAACATGGCCATTCCCACTTATATGGGACTCTTCCTGTTCTTTAGTCTCCCAGCCTGCCCTGCACACACTTAACCACTCTGACATTTATGCTGACAAAAAAAATATACACGGCTCTCCTTTCCTGCCTCTGCTTTTCCTATTTCAGGTCATGCTTTTTTATTTCCTTTCCCTCTTCCTCTCCTTTCACCAATCCCAGAGCTTTACAATAACAAGGGGGGTACAGGGAGCCTGCAGAGGAAGGTTAAGTACATTATTGACTTCCTCAGACTCTTGTTTTCCTTTTTCAACATCTCTCCATCCGTCAACCCCTACCTCTTCTTTCTGCTTTTGACAAGAGCAGTTTGGGGCATCACTGACTTCTTCCAGTTACATCTGTCAAATCTATCTCAGGTTTCGTTTATTTTTCCTCCGCCTATTAAACTCTAAACCGACCCGCTTCAACCACATTTTGGAAGCTTAAACGTTCATTTAATTCTTTTTGGGGAGCGGTTAAGCCATTTCTTTACTGACTCCCCAAAAGAAGTGCAAAGAGGAAGCGGTGAGGATCTTGATAGTTAATTTTGACCCCGTTTAAATGTACTGACACAGAAATACAACACAAGTGCATTGGAGAAAAATGAAAATAGAAGTCATTTTGCCAAAAAAAAAAATTTAACACTTAACGGTTATGTTTTTTTGGAAAAAGGAACATTCAGTTTTAATTATACTTTCTGTTCTTTTTATCATATTTCTCAATGTCAAGATGTGCAAGGAGGAGATAAGGAATGTTAAAAAGGATCCATCAAACGATTAACATAATGGAGTGTTAACTTGACTCAGTGGAGATGTGAAAGACAAATCGAATTGATGTGGATTTGCTGCATATCTGAGGAAAAATAAGCAAAGTTTAAAACGATGTGTTTAGCAACATTGACTTACAAAAGAGCAGAAGACAAACAGGAATCTGCCAGAGAACAAAGGAAACTTTGGGACTGCCTGTTGATTATTGATGAAGAGCAGCTTAGGTGATTTAAAAATACTACAGAGCCAAGATTGATGCTAAAAAGAAAAAAAAACTTTACCAGAATTATGCAGCATGTGAGCTGCAGAGCCAAGTTCAAAATCTAACTTTATTGACTTAAAGCATTTTCCTTTTCCAGACAATGTATATTTCTAAACAGTTGGTTTTACTCGTTCAGTACCTTTACTGTTTTGGTGCGTTTAGACTGAGCTCGGTGTCTGTGGTGATTTCCAAGAGCCCTGCAGGGGTTCACCACTATGCATTTTAGATGCACAGTGTTTACACTCTGGACCACATCATCTATGTGGAGTAGCTTCAGCTGCGTGAAGCTGACACCCCACCGATATGAAAAAACTCAGAAAATAGACTGGTTATTGCTTTTTCAGTGCAGGTTTGTGCATTTTAAATTGTCATTTGTGAAAAAAATAAAATAAAAAAATTATATGTGCTAACGCTGTTTCAGAGAAATTTAGGATGATTTTTTTAGGCCATTGAGAGGTCAACTATCCCATTATGCTCTGAACTGAATAAAAATGATCTACTTTTTCAGTGCTATTTTATTTGTGCAGGTAAAACTG